AACAATAACAGTTACAATAATAGAAACAACACAGCTGGGGCAGTCAGGATTTCACCTCAAAACTGCCATATACCATCTGTTATTACTAGAGAATATGACATCACAAAATAGTAACTTTAAATTGCGGTTCTACAAATGAGGCTGTACTCTTGAAATTCAGCAGGAGCAAAGGGTACTCAAAGCATCAGTCAGACTGTGAGTTCAGGGCTGTGATACTGACTTGGAAGCTTTATCTGCATGCAATTATAGTCACTCAGAAACTGCTGATTTCTTAGTTCTGTTTATACTGTGTGGTACCTTGGTAGAATCTCCCTCTTTTCTGGCGAATACTATCAGTTGGCATGCACAGCCTTTTGCTCATATTAGGAATCTTTGGTTTTGCACAAAGAAATAACAAAGTAAAAACACACTTAGTATGTAAGTACACATCTAAGCAAGTGTGTTAAGGGACAGCTGGAGTTTTTTTTACACTGTTTCTTTGTATTGCTGATTTGAAAATTTGAGAAGAAAAACATGCAGACATTTTTTTTTCTCATGTGTTTCCTGAAAGTCTTCTCTAATGGGATTCTACTGTCTTTTCCTTAAACTGAGCAGAATCAGTGATACACTTCCCACTGATCTTGCCCTGGGGTTTTGGATCAGGACACAGGCTTCACTAACAGGGATGCTCCATTCAACCTTCAGATACTTTGGCAGAAGTACCTGGTGAGAAGCTGTCTGCAGGAAAGAAGTTTTATAAGAATGCTGAAAGGTTGAGTGTGTGCCTTGGTCTAAAATCAGGCTGACAGTAACTATCTCATAGAGTAACTATAGAGATTGGCTGGAAGATCCTGTTGAAATATTCTGGGCTTTACAGTAGGTCCTTTAGAATAAAATGCTGGATATAAGCATTAAAATTCAATTGAAAATGTCCAAATGTGAGATTATTATATTATTATTTGAGATTGCCTTTTTGGATTTCTCAAAAATCTTCCACATTGCATCCAAATAACAAAGAGGGTATGGAAATGGAGAAATAGTATGGAATGGGTAGGATAGAGTGACTAAGGACACGCTCTAAGGCCCACTCAAGTCAATGACTGTGCTTACAGGAGGGTTTGGTTCCTATTCTGGATTTTCCACCCAGAATCTGCACAGAAGACAAAGGGATGACTGTAATACCAACTTACAGAGAAGAGTCTGCTTTGCATGACCTCACTCAAGCACGTATTGAACAAGGGTACTCTTAGCACATGGCAGGCTCCTGCTCCCAGCCTGCTCCTGCCACACAGAGGTCTTGTAGCTTGACTACTTTCAAGAAAGGATGAAGCACTCATGTACACATAGACAAACATACATGCATTTTTACATAAACAGATATATTATCCCATTCAGTGGGGTTTTTTTTGCCTCCAGTATTTCAGTTTCTGAGCCCTATCTGCTCTATCCACTCCTTTGCAGTGCTTTGGAACCTAGTAAGAGTCCAGTCTGGTGAAACTGAAGATCAGCATCTGATTAAATCAGAACTATGCAGTACATTATCTGAAGATGGCCTTCAGACCTCTTAAAATTCACTCTGTGGTATTATACTTTCATAGCTAACATTAGAAAAAGAAAATAACTGGTACTTCCACATGTATATAGACATAATATATATTTAAGCATACATGTATTCACATGCATACACAGAGGAAGGGTGAGAGAGATTGAAGTGAGATCCAATTACCTTTTAAAGTAATGCCCCTTTACATCTCTCTGGCACTGTTAAGAGGCCTTAAAAAGGGAAGATATGTAATTTACATTCATTTTAAGGCCATCTCTGTACTGATGAGAAGTGCAAAGGGGCCTTAGAGAAACAGAATCAGCCCAGCGGTCCCCACTGCCACACTTCCTTTTCCTGTTCTACAGATATTTGCATTACAAATGGAATGCCTTAATTACAGATTGAATTGTAAATAAAACATCACTACAAATATTAAGCTGTACAAAGACAATGGCTGGTATATTGGAACAAGACCTTAAAGGTATCTTTTGACACAGCCAGACTGTGAGTGAGACTCACACCAAACCATTGCTTCTTCCACAGCAGGGCTCAGTGCATTTAGTGCTCAAGTAATTCTCTCCAATTATAAACAGCAGAGCTGTTTTGACAATTTTTCCACTGCTCCACAGTGCACAGAAGCACAGGCAGCTGAGGGAGCACCTTCTGCCCATGTACACTGCCTAAAGTAAGAAAGATGTGTTGTGTTTGGGGGTGCCAGCCTCAATTCAGGAAAAAAAAAAAGGAAAAATAATAGGAAAAGATAACTTAATCAGCAATTCCTGCCTCATACATACCTGACTTAACAAAAATGGTAGCCTTTCATGTAACATACAAGCTTATGAATTCTAATGGAAGTCTATGAATGCATCTTAGACTGAAGGCTCACCTGGACCAGCATCCTCTCTCCAGCTGTGAGCTGGCTGCCTAGGGAGTGTAAAAGTGAGGATTTCTCAAAACTCTAACCTAGACCTCAACTTGTGGCTCAACGACTTCCAGCACCAAAGCTTAAAAGCTCCTGATTGATTTGCTTTCTGAGAAGAGTAACTTTTGAGGACATGTATACTTTTAGAAACATTACTTCCTGCTCAAAGCTTCATCACACTGTGAGTGAAATGTCTTTGTTCTGAACCTGCTACTTGCTGTTTCCACTTCATGCCCACTAATTCTTGTACAGGGAGAAATGACAGTGCTTTCCTCCTCACCTTACAGGATGCTCTGCTTCTGAAGATAGTCCTGCAATAGATCACACGAATGTGCTGTATTTAACAGGAGACCTGTGACACTGTATATGCTACAGCAGATAGAGCAAGAGTTGTTTCCAAGTGTAATCCTGTTCTTAGGGTCTCATAACTTCAAAGCTGAAACTTGCTTGCTACGTTCTACAATAAAAGGACATAGTCAAGTCTAGAGGGGAGTTTATATAATGGGCAACTAATACAAATGTCTTCTCCTAAGTGAGGACTCTGAAGTCTTCTGAAGTTGGATTTTTTCCTACTTCAGATTGTGTTGATAGAAGGCTGTTAACTTTTTGGTGCCTCTTGGCAAATTGGGAATCACATATTTTTGTATGCCTAGCTTGTTCTTTTCCAGTATCTTAAAAAATATATATATATATATATATGATTTATAAATGGAGGAATGAGTTACATTTCTTTTTCAGACACAAACCATATCATATACCATATTGCATTCTACTTGTCTTGAATAAGAAACAGGCTTGAACAGTTAGTCATTTCCAGTGTCTGTCAACCAGATACAAGTTCAGTAAAATGTGCTGTTTTAAACTTTAGGGACTGCCATTTACAGCAAGGACTTGCATTTGCTCTGCTCTGCTCCCCAGGAACTTGTTGTCTGAATAAATCTGTTTATTAAGGATTTATAGAGCTCTGAAAAATACAGCAAGAAGTCTGTGACTGCATTCATGCTCTTTGAACCCACACAACACATTGTGAATTCAGTACAATTTTAACCTGCATTCTCCAAGTGTTATAAGAGGTGTGTATTGTTGTCTTTCTTTTAATGTCTCAGTCAGCTTTTCTCTTCCTATTCTACCCTCTACCCTGTCTCTTGTATCTTGATGTCTCCAAGGGCGAGGCTCTTAGTGGTCTTTTATCACATTGAGTTCACTTGATTGTCTAAAAGGCTCTTGCAGAGGATTTTCTTCCTCCATGTGCCTTTGCTTTGCTGGTGCACTTGTCCCTCCTCTCTCTCATTCTCTCTCTTGCTCTTCCTCACCTCCTTGTCTCTCCCAGTTAAGCCCCACTCCCTTCAGAAGACAATGAGGTGGTAAAATAAAGTGTCTGGGAAGCTGTGCCTTGGGTTAAAATATATCTATCCAATCTCTTAGTGCTGTATCTAAAAATATGGGAATGGCATCTCCTGTGGTCATTTTATTCACATGCTAAATGGAAACACTGCCAGCCTCAATGATGATATTGATTGTCAATTACCTCTTAATTGCTAATGTGCACATGATACTGGCTTTGCTTAATTGATTTTTATGTAGACAACGTTGCATATTTTAGAAATATTTTTTTCCTGAATAAACTGTTACAGATTCCTTTTTATTTCCTTTCAGATTATGTAGGCAAAATTGGCACTTGATCTACAAATCTCCAGAAACTATATTATACACAAAGAGTTCATATACATCTGGGTATAAACATTTCAGTTAACAGTTTTTTACTTTGGAATTATATGTACTAATGCAGAGGCATACACATACACGTACATCTGTGGGTAAACATCCTTGATTTCAATCATTTTCAAAAGATTTGCTTAGTCTGAAAGGTTCTGATTGCAGATTTTATGCAGACACACATAAATACTGCTTTGATTGGTTAAGGGATATAAAAAACCTGCAGTCTCACAGCCTCTGTGTACCTTGAAGCCTTTGCTCATTCTGCAGTCTGCAGCACAGCAAAAATTCACAGACCTAAATATCAGTCGTCTTGGTATTTTCCTTTCTTCTTCATTATTTGTGCATTAGTATCTACCAGACAAAACTGACATTACTGTATATTGAACAAATATACAGCAAGAAACAAGACCTCCTGGAAAGTTATAGGTCTGCCATACTGAATCCAAAACAGAGCCCTGGCTACGAAGGCAAAAAAAATTAACTCTACCCCAGCTGAAATCACGACAGGATTTAAGGGTGAGACTGCCTAATGGAATAAGAGCCCAAATCCTCATTTTCAGCTTGTGATGTTGGGAATTTTAAAAGGGCAAAGGAGACAAAAAAAGCAGCAAAACGCAGGGTAAAGATGGGATTAATACAATGGTTTTACAGGTGAAGAACTGAGGCACAGAGAGATTAAATGATTTGCACAGTGTCTTTCGGGGTGCTGAGCATTGCCTTTATTCTCCTGAGTTCCACTGCCCTGCACTACCCCCACAACCAACTCTGAGTCTGCAGAAATCCTGTGCCTCGTCTGAACCACCCTTTGTATCACCAAGCCTTAGACATCCCACTTACATTCTCACTGTTAACATCTGCTTCACTGGGGCAGCCAAAGAGTTCCCGTCTCAGCAAATTCCCATCATATTCCAGGAATGTCAGGTAGAGGTTGCGGAAAAACTCCACATGCTTGTTTTTCACTCGCAGCTTCTTCGGTGAGTTCCAGTGAATCACCTCAGAGGGAAAAAAGAGAAAAGACATCCTGCTGTTAGAATACAGATTTGCTTTATCTGCTCTTTTTATGTGTGTTCAGTGTGCTGCCCTCTTAAAAACAGAAGAAAAAAACCCCCCAAACTACCCACACTTCCTTCTGTCTTTTTACAGGGAAAGCTTTGCTGTGTATTCCACAAGTAATTGTACACTCTGGAGGTGATGTGCTTGCAAACTCTTCTGTGGTATCACCTGCACATTCTCAACATACTCTATGTTGAGAACAGCACCATGTAAGTGATTCCACAACTCTCATCATGGAGCTGATAGTTTGTGGACTCTGCTGAAGAAGACAGAATGACAAGGAACACAGTGATGTAGGTATTAAACATTAATCTCAGATTTCCACATGACTGTTTCTGCTAATGAAACTGATTCCCTGTTTCAGGCCAGGCAGCCTCTTTCCTAGTTAGATATTGAGAAGAAGCAGCTTGAAATTAATTCCCATACCCATTTAAATAGTTCAAAAAGGACTGAATTTAATCTAACTTCCTTTTTGCCATTGCTTAATTTAAACAAGACTGATCTCTGTTGGATTAACACAACACAGCGATGCAGTAGAACTTCTCACCCTCTGAGTTCCAATTTCTAGCAGATATTTATCCTCTGCTAATGGGAGATGACTGTGGCCTAGACTTAAACTCTAATGCTGGCCTAAAGGGCCTGATCCTCATTTGCATTGAGGCAACTTTGCAATGCTGCCAGTGTGAATGGGAATAGGACCCTAAGGAAAAACGAAGAGGGAGTTGATACAGGCTTGCAGGAATGATTTCATTTTACAAGGCTATATTTTAGACATAAGAAAGAAATCACGGAATGCTTTGTATTCAGTTTTATTCCTGTGACTTCTAAAGAGGTTAAAAACAGGAGTCTCCCTTCGGAATGTTTCCAAGCTCGAAGCTCTGGAAGTTCTCTGAATCCATTAAGTTAATTGTGTGAAGACACCGTGTCACTCACACGCAGCACAGAGCTGCAGCACGGTCAGCTTTGCTCTGAACATCATGGCTCAGGGAGGGACACGCCGAGCTGAGGCCCTGCACACACAGCAGGAGCAGCCTGGGGAAGATGAATGCAGCTCCCTTGGTGTCAGCAACACAGCTCCACAGGAACAGGAGTTCTCTGAAACCATGGTATTTGTTGCCCAGTGAGTGGACTGGATGAGGAAAGAACAGGACACAGCCTGAATTCTGCCTGGACTACAGCAAACAACAGGTCACTCCACTGAGTGTTTATACTGCCGTAAAAGCTATAGCACTCTATTCTACCCACCCAAAACCCACGAAATATCTGCTGATAAGAAAAGCTTTATCCATTACTGGGATTTCACTGCTAAGCCTTAGGATGTCAGAAAACCATACAAGCTCTTGAAGAAAAACATCTGTAGGAAAAGAAGATAATTTTAGATATTGGCAAATTGCTTTTCCCAGTTATAGGAGCACCTTAAATAAACTGCATGACATGACACTGCATGAATTTGAGAAATTATTTGGACCAACTTACTTGGTGTAGATATTTGTCCAAGGAATGCTACATTCTTTGCTGGTTTTACACTTGTCCTGATGTTCAGAAGCATAGCATAACTGTGCAGAAACATGTTGCTACATCATGTGATGAAAATACACCACATAAATGAAAAGAGCTTTGGGTAAGTAAGGGCATAAACTTAGGATAACGGACTTTTTCCACTGAAAAATGGATCATCAAAATCTCCTTTCTTTGAAAAGAACTTGACATATTTCCTCCATTGTATTTAACTGCAGCAAAAGGCATTAATGCTTGAAAAAAATCTCTGAACCTGAATCCTACCTCAGGGAAATGGGCACATGTAACAGAAGCACAGGGCTGAAGGAACCTAAAGAGCTATTTAACAGTTTTACAGGGTACCAGCATGCATTTTTACAAGCAGGCATAGAATGGAAACTGTCTGCTGGTAACTTGTACTTATTTAAGAGTGGATCAAAGAAAGCTAAGAAGCTGGCAAATGGGACAAAAATGCTTGCTAGGAAAATCTTGTGTGTGCTTTCCTTACTGCTCCTACTCTTCATGTGTTTCCTTTTGGATACTGTCGTGGTTTGAGAGGAAGTGAGTTTTTTGGGATGCTGTGGTCAAGCCAATAGGTGCTCAGATTTGAATATTGGCACCTGGTGTGGCCACTGGGGACATGGAACACGGGGGTTAAAAGCAGAGAACTCCCAGGAAAACCTCTCTTGGGTTTCGGTAGGGAAAGAATTCCAGCTGCTGGCTGGGCGGGGGCGGGGAAGCCATGTGGCCGGGTGAGGTGGGCCTGGGCCCTGAGGACGGAAGGGTGGAGGGGCACCAAGAGACATCGGGCAGCCACCTCCCCCTCCGCAGGAGAGACAGAGAGAGAGAGAGAAAGAGAGAGAGAGAGAGAGAGAGAGAGAGAGAGAGCACCGGTGTCTGTGCCGGTGCCACCTTGAAATTTTACAGCAGGTTGGCTGAGAAGGAGAAGGGGGGAGTGCGGCGAGGTGCCCAGCAAGGCAGCCGTGGAAGTTCTGGACAGGCAGAGCCTGAGATTTTTAACCCTTTTCTTGGATGATGGAAACCTTACAAATGCTAATCCTCCTGGAGCTGAATGAGAAGAGAGATAGAGATGAGATAGGAGGAAATGGGCCACGAGGGAAGTGGAGAAGTATCTTAGGTGGGAGGAGGTGATGGAGTGGCCTTTGGCTGGACTTTCTTGTATAGCCATGGACAGAACCATTTTTCCTGTGACACAGAGACTGCATTTGGGGGGAGGCAATGGCTCGGAGCCAAGAGAGTTCAGTGTTGTTATGTGAAGGAGTATGTGAACAGAGGTGACAGGTGAGGAGGGTGGTTGGTGCCCTTGATCTTCAGTGGAGGAGAAGATCTCTGTTCTTGAGACCCCTCAGCCCCAGGGGGTGAAATTTGCAGGGGACAGGTGTCCCAAAAGTGAGAGACTGGGCTCTTTTTTGGAACTGGACAAAGCATCCTTAAAAGAAGCAGCTCTGGTCCATGTGCAGTGGCGAGAGCACTGGGCATGGAAGGAAGATGTCACGACAGCAAATTATCTCTAGGCGGTGCCATGAGCGACATAGAAACACACAAGGTTTCAACTGTGTTTCCTGGGGAAGCCTATGGCACAAGAGGACTCCTCTCCTCTTGATGAACTGAGAATTGATTATCTGAAGGGTGGTGATGGACTGGAAGTTGGTGATATGAGGGATGGATGTATTAGAAATTTGGTGGGGAGAGGAGGAATGTTTTTGGAAGGTTTTCATTCTTTCTATGTGTTTCTTTTTACATGTAGCTGTAGGTTAATAAAGTTTTCTCTTCTTTATTCCTAAGCTGAAGCCTACTTTGCTCTATTCCTGGTCACATCTCACAGCAGACACCAGGGAGAATGTACTTTCATGGGGGCACTGGCATTGTGCCAGCGTCAAACCGTGACAGATACTCACAAGCATCCTCATCTTTACAAGCATCCTAATGCTGCTGAGCACTCTGAGCACCCAGAGATCTGGGACCATGAACACAGACATGGCTAATGACAATAACCTCAGAAACTGTCACAGGACAGGCTCCTAGGTACTGCAGGAAATTCCCATCAATACACAGAGTGTGACATCACAGCCAGGCCTTTGCTGATGCCTCTGCCCAGTTGTGTGGAAGATGATTTCAAACCCAGACAACTGCAGTTGTCAGTGCAGAGGCTCTTTGCTGCCCTGCTTCAGGATCTGTTGTGTGTGTAAGCTGGCAAGTGTCAAGGGCTTAGCTGGTGGCTCAGATCTGATCAGATTTGAAATGTGTCAGGGTGCTGCATGTACTCTGATGTCAGGAGCCTGGAGTGAACTGCATACAGCTGAATGGAGCTGATGACTATCTAAACAAGCTGATTTTTTAATCAAAAAGGACAGCACATGCCAATGTGTGCTAATAGGATGTGCTAAAGAACACCAAGGCACTAACTATGCAACCATCTGGATGACCTGAGGTAGAAAAACCACAAAACAGGTCTAGCAAAAAAGCAGGCTGCTTTTCAAATGTAACACAATTAGACAAATAGTATGTGATATACCAAAGCATAAAAAAGAACAGCAAGTTACAAAAAGCAATAAGACTTTTCACCTTGATATAAAACACTACATCCAAAGACCATATTCTTTTTTATGTCAGCCCACAAACTCACATTCAGTTCTGGCTGTCTGATATGGTCTATTGCACCATCAGCTACAGCAGAATTTGTGCAGGCCAAGACACTCTTGTAGACTGTCATGGGCATCAGTGAGGTATACAATAAAGATTGCACAGGTAAAGCTATGGCTACTGCATTAAAGACTTTATTGTGCACAACAGTAAATTGATTGGAGAAATAAAAAAGATCAGTTGGCAAGAGACTACAGGGAAATCAGAAGGAGAAAAAAACCCACTTTGTTTGAAGACTGTTATCTCCACATTAAAAAGAGAAAGTGAATCTAGAAACTGAGAATCTCATTACTCCAATATCCCTCTTCCAAGACTGAATAGCACCATAATACTGTGTTTATTTCTTCTAGTTTCTAAGTTATTGCAAAGCAAAGGAAGTTGCATCTAGAAATATAAAATTCCACTGCCATTATCTGGGTAGACACCTCAGGAACAATGCTAGCCTTTAGGCTGACCTACAGAGCCTTCCCACTCTTGATCACAGCCTCCTGAGGACTATGAGAAAATACACTTCCTTAATCTTCATTTAGCAATTTAAGTACTGAAAGATCAGAACTTTAAATTCCACATCTATTTAACACTTGGTTAGTTGTCATTAAGCAATGTGGTACTATCCACATTTCTGTTAATACCACCCTAGTTAATCAGCACCCATTACCACTCCCTGATTACACACAGCCAGCCTCCTGGAACACTTCCATACATTTGTGGCCTAAACCAGGCTAACTACACCCATAGTTCCCATTTATTCCCCAGGTTCTGACCCAAGGCACTCAGTG